TAGGCTTGCGGTGTGGGTGCTTGCCAGATGTTTATATCGGAGTTTGGGGGGAAATTCGAGTAGGGATTGCGCACTGGAGTTTTCCATCTCTAGCTACCCCAGCTCCTCGGTTTAGAGAGAGCATAAATTCAGCTAAATGAAAAGTATAAATATATTTTCTTCAGAAAGGTTTAGCTAAGTGTTCTGACGTTGTTGGTGGGCGTTTTCTCATACAGTTGATTGTTTATGGGTGTGAATTTGAGAATTGGCTCAGGGTCCCTTGGTTCTAATGGCATCACTGGGGGTTGTAGTCAGAGGAGGTGAGAACTCCATGTCATGTTGAAGGGTGAGCTGGAGGTTTTTAAATTATTTTTTTGTATATTCTCCTTGCCTTAAATTGTTTAAACACACGCCTTCTCCTGGAGGATGATAATACAGTGAACTATTCACATCTTAGTGTACATTTGCTTCTCAGCCCCCTCCTCCAGACAAAATTGATCTCTGGGACGTGAGGGCATACTGACCGGGAGAGTACTGGGCGGACCCAGACAGAGGCCTGCGGCCCCGCCTGAGAGCAGGCTCTTGTTTCCATGATTCGGCTTAAGCCGATGAGGCCTTACTGATACCATAAAGTCACCTACAGTTTTTCCCTGCTCCTGAGATCTCATTCCACAGAATAATGTGGAAACATTGGGAATTTGCACAAATTGTGCCAAGACTAACTTGCCTTCGGTGGAGTAAGTCATTGAAAGGAAACAAGAACCACCCCTTTCCCAAGAAAGACACCCCTGAAGCCTTTAGGTGGGACCTAAGTCACAGGCAACCATGAGAAGCAGAACAGAGGCGAGGAAAAGGGGCCCCCAGCCAGGCCGTGTCAGCTTTCTCTCACTCCAATCAGTAGTGTGTCTTATATGAGGAAATTAAGGGCAATTTCCACGGAGAAACCTGCTAAACTCTCACGCTGCATAGCGTAAATTTAGAAAAGGAAGCACTGCATCGTTTTGGCAATGAAAATGATACCTGTTAACCTTTGCGGATTCCGTTATGTGTGTAGAGTTAATGAGTTATTCCAGTCATACAAGGAAAAACGGACCAAATGAAGTTGCAAACAGCTGCAACACTATTGAAAAAAAAACCCTAATAGAGAAAATGAGAAGCTGTCATTTAAAGGTTTAAGGAGAATTGATTTTAGGAACTTAAAGTAGGACGGAATTAGCTGGGAAGGTCCATCGTCAGCCATGAGGACAGAGGTCACATGGGCAGCTTAGAGAACTTGATTGGCTCTTCAAGCTTCATCTTTATTTGGTACAGCTGACCCTGAACAAGCTTGGGTGCTCCTGGAACATTCAGTTATTACCCCGCCTTTCCTGGCCTGAATCCACCACAACAAAGTTGTAAGGTCAGCAGCTAATCTGTTGATTTGTATCCCTGAAATAACACATCTGCCTTAACCCAATCCATAAAGAATTACCTTGGAGCAAGGAAAAGACTCTCCCTGGGGTACGCCATGGCTGGTAACCATCTGACAGTTCTTTTCCGGGGGACTGGTTAGCCCTATAAGCAGCCGGAAGAGAGCCATGGAGTTTGGGTAGACCTCACCTGGGCCTGCTGATCAGATCTGCAGGATGAAACAGCGGTTCTACTTACTGCCAGGAGTCTGGACCAAGATTCCAAATGTGGCTCGCTCTCCTGCGATCTCATGATGCTGAGCCAAGTGGCTAGAGTTGGCGTTAGCAATGGAAACCTCGACAATCTGCTGCCATCCTCTCTCATCATCTAAAGTTTATTCCTCATCAGCTTTAGGTTACGTCATTAAAACAAGTTTTTAACACATTTACTTTATAAAAAACGGTTGCAGGTCTTACCTCTAATGATGTATCAGTTTTAGGGGCCAAGTTGATCCCAGTAAAATCTATCTTTCATCCGATGAACTAGGAATGCAACTTTAAAATGGAAAGAACAAATACTGGAGTACTTTTCTAATCTAAAAGGGACTTAGCAATCATTTTTCGATATGTAGAAAGATTTCTGTCTACATCACTGGCAAGGAGTCGGCATGAGAGCTTGCTCAGGCCCTCCTCAGTGTTCCGGGCCTTTCTGTCCTGGCTGCACCAGACGCTCTCCCACGTGTTGCCCGGACTGGGTGAATTATAGTCGGCCAAACAACAGCAGATTGTAAATTGGAATCAAATGTCCAGAATTGCTTGCTTTTTTAGCCTAAAAGGAAAGTGTAAGTAATTTTTTTTAAATAGCACAAGCGTAGGTCCAAATGATGACATACAATTTAACCAGGAATGATTTGGTTATACAAGCGCCTGTTGGTGGCGCTGGAAAATCATCAGCTTTCTGTCCTTGTTGGCTCTTTCCTGAACCATCTGTCCACCTGTTTCTGCTGTTTCAACTGCCCGTGTGTGATTGCGGAACCCTGGCTACGTGCAAAGGCGGTGCTTCTGCGTCGGTTTGAGGGTTACTATGCTCAAAATCCGTATTTTAAGGATCTGAAAGCTGGCTGGTTTTAGGAGCAGTGTATATGTTCTTTAGGGACAATGCGCTAGTAACTTCTAGACTGTTTTAGATGAATGCAGTGTTATAATGAAGGGAGGCCACAGAGCTGGACGTGTTTTCAGGATTTAAAAATATGTATATGAAAACGCTCTCTTCCCCTCGAGAA